TTTTGGGATATTTTCTTACACCCTAGACATGACCCGAATGGTTAAATCTGTCATCGGCTATGTCTCCATACAACTTAAACTTAAAGAAAGCGAATACTTACAAAAGTCAGATAGCTATAAAAAAAAACATCAACAGGATGCTCATGTGTCATCCCATGCCCTGTGTAGGCATTTGTTTGGTAACAGTTTAGTCATAACACCTAAATAAACTGATGGTTTAACTGGGCTGCTGTGTTTGTGCTGGATGATAGTATTCGCTATGGCGTTATGGCCTCAGGATATTTGCCAGTGTTGAAGTAGTCAATGTCAGGAAGATAAATTAAATGTTCTTGTGATGCAGCATCTCGCTTCGTGTCCAAAATACTTCATCAGTTAGCTAAATGGTGCTAGCTTAAAAGCTGCTAATTAAATCTCCACTCTAAAATTGTTAAACCCCTGCAGTCAGCAGCTTACATATTACAAGGAACTGTTTGGGTCTACGCCAAAGGCCCAAACAGAGAGGATCTACTTTACAGGTAACCCCTTGTTAGCATTTATATGTTTTAAAGGTGTCTATAATGTTGCTTTGCTTGTTTTCTGAATGTGCTTTCAATTCATTTTTTACAGGCGTGTGGATGGTAAAGTCTGATTTATGTGGAAGTTCACGTTAGTACCAGGTGTAAAAATCATCCCAGACACCGACTCCAAACCAGACAGACACTTTGAATTCACATGGAAGACAAAATACAGTATTATGTTTCAGCACACACACATATACACAGTGAGCATCATGAGATGAAAATGCACTTAAACTCACCTTTGACCCTGTCTCCCTTATTGAAGCTGATTTCTCGCTCTCCCTGGGCAGAGTGTGATCGAGTAGCTACAAAGACTCGTCCTGGGACGGCGCTGTAGAGGCGTCTCCGCTGGCCCGCGGTTTGTCCAGCTGTGCTTGCAGGGGCAGGCCTGGGTGGGAGGGAGGGAGCACAAGGTGGGGTGGAGGATTACAGACTGCAGTTTAAAACTCAAAGATCCCTATACTGTAGGTATAGTGATTAAATTACACAATACAATATTTTATTATGTTTTATTTTTTGAGAGAAAGGGAAAGTTTGTATTAAACTGGCTACTTCAGACTGGAAATTTGAGGACTTCTATTAGGTCATATTTCAATGATTTATTATCTTTGTAAGTCTGCAGATTCACTTAACAGATATTGAATTACCCTAATCAGTCATAATAATATAACTTATACGTCAGAGCTTCTCACTGTAAAATGTGAAAGAAATTATTGTTGCCCCACAAATTTGGAAACCAAAAAAAACACATTTAAGATTAACATTTAACCACTTTTACAAAGCTATAAGACTTTGACTCGGATAATTCATCTGGCAGTGAACATGTATACTGAACACTGCTCGAGTCCGTATTTGACGATGTTGGAATGAGAACTGGCTGTGAAGTGTGTAGGAGGAAGTATGGTGGCCATGAAAAACACAAAAAAGGCCTTATCTACAGCCAGTGTTTGCTTTGTCCATTCTGGGCTTCTGTAGAAACATAGCGGATTAACATGGCGGACTCTGTAGAAGGCGACCCACGGCATCTGGAGCTAAAACTTATTCTAAGGTAACGAAAATGCAAAGATTCCTACATTCAGGTGATTATACATTAATGAAAACATAACTATGATGATTAAACTCCATTTCTGCCAATAGATCCACCTAAATGTTACACACTGGACCTTTAAGGACTCTTTTAGGACTTGCAGACATCCGGTAGAAAGTCTTAACAAGGACTTTAGCCAGCCTAGATGAAGACAACTCACCCCCTCCGACTCTGCCTGCTCCGGTCCTCCTTGTCTCCGATCCTCCCTCTGGACGGGGAACGCGTCCTCGCCCCTCTGGGACTGCTGGAGCTTCGCAGGGTTCCTGTATGTTTATAGCCCTGTGAGAGACAGAGAGGGAGAAAGATAAGAAAACATACTGAATGCAAGATGTTTACATGTTACATATATATTTATACCTTTCACATTATTGTAGCTACATACAATATTAACTCTAATTTCCATATCTATAATAAATTATAAAAACTACCCTAATGCCATAGACTGTGCACATAGCGCACATAATGTTTATAAAATTATAACTATAATGTCTCATAAATTATGTAGTTTTATTACATGATTCTGTGTGTTTATGGGCTGTCACTCAACATGACCACTCATCCTAAAGAGGGTGATGATGGGAGCCTGTGACATTGTGATTTATTTTCTGCTGCACAATGCATAATAACTAAAGTACACGGATGGCTTATGCAAGAAAGCAAGATATAAGTTGCTGTAATAAGTACTGTTCACCAGTAGAGGTTGATAAAGGTCATCCCTTCTATTGTATAATCCCTTCAAATGTTATAATTTGTTTTAAAAGTGTTGGGATGCAGCTGCTCACGCCTCCACCTGTGGAAAAGAAATATCCATCATCTGGCCATTAACCATTTCTGTCAGCTGTCAGGTTTACAGAAAATGATGAATCTACCTTTTCTTTTATTGGAACAAACACCAAACAAATTAATCAGATGACTCAACAGAAATCCAAATCACAAGCAACACTACTTTCTGGCCATTCAAATAAAATACTGAGGACTAAGTGGATAAAACCTTCCAATCAGATGCATGTTTGGTAGAAAAGGTCCCTCTAATCGCTACAGCGTAAAATGACATTTTAATATTTAATATTATTGCATACAGTAAGACGTCTTGTTCAGTGATTGATTATTGATTATAAAAACTATATATAATGCATTAAATGTAGGTGTGCTAAAAAAAATATCCTGTGTTGACAATCATACTGAAATGCAAGTTAGTAAATACATTCAATATTTTCTTAGATGCTGCTGAAGGAATAAATTAAAGTCAGGAGCAGTTTACAAATCAATTAGTGGAGTTCGTATTTACCGAATTATTTAAGTTATTTTTATAATAAATCAGCAATGTGTGTAGTTGCTCATTGGGAAGTAACTGTAAATTTTGAGTGGTAAAAAGCTCCAGAAAACTTACTGAACAGAACTCAAGGTCAGGTTGTTTTGTCAGCTGCTGTTTCCAATGTGAAGATTTTAATCTATGAGCATCATCATTCCATTCACACACACACACACACACACACCTGCACAGAGACAATGTTGGTCGCTGGGGCATTGGGCACTGCCATCCAGTCTGGCAGGTTCATGCTGCTGTCACTGTTGGCCCGGAGGAAGGGATGAGGGTGGGGAATTGTCAGCGTCCGGGAACTCTCCCGCCTCTGGGGGGCGTACTTCGGAGACTCCACAAAGGGAACTGGGAGGTGAGGGGAGATGAGATTTTCACTGTCACTGCTCTTATTTTGCACATGCTCATACTCCACATAATCTAATCCATGTTTCTTTATAATTTCTCTGGATAAGGCTACATGTGGACACTTTTCTATATTCCTATGTATATTCTAGTTTTTAAAGCTGCGTCCTTTCTCCTGTGAAGATCCAGTGTCTTGTTTAAGATTAGTAAAATGTCTAGCATTTTAGGACATTACAAATCTCCAAACTGGCATGAAAACTGGACCTCAGCTGCTTACCCACATCTGTATCCCGGTGGTTTTTGATAATTTCTCCCAGCTCAAAATGGCCGGACATAACAGCCACCTGATAAGAACACACATACAACATTTTTGGACACAGTCATATGGCAAATGCACAAAATGAAAGAGTGGAACAAACAGTAAACTGTTTCTCCTGTAATTACTGTAGGTAGCTTCATGGGTGCTTTTACTGAAGCATTATTCTTTTCCTAAACGACCCAATTTTGCTGTTCCTCTGAACTTGCACCTCTGATGGCAACATTTAAAAGTGATGGAAACTAAATTCATGACCGTGGTGTGTTTATATATTTATAAACATACAGATCACATTCCCCTGGTGAAACACACTAAAACCTTTTTATTTTACTTTGTTTAGGTTGTTTTGATATTTTCTTCACTGCATTTGTAATTACAGTTCTACTTCAACAAGCAAAATGTCCATGATGATTCTCAGTCATCCAAGTTATAGATTATCAAAAACATATGAGTGCTTCCACGTGAGAACATATTTTTGTATTTTTTCCACCAATGCACAAATGCTTTTGACCTTTTTTTTTCACTACACAGGTCAGCACACAATCCAGCCAATTTTAAAGCTTTCTCCCTGTTGCCTCCTCTCTTGTTTTCTGTCTCGCTCACACACACAAACACAACAGATTGTCTCAGCTGGCTTTTTCTGCACTGACAGAGTTAATGTATCCAGATTAAGAGGTCACATGCAATCCTGCCACCTGGGACCTCTGTGTGCATCACAGCACAATAATGGTTTAAAGTGAAATTAGGCCCCGGCACTTTCTGCTACGTTAACTTAATAAGACACTAAACCATACAACCACCCAACATGCATAATGACCCAGCCAGGCACTCAGCCATTACCTGAAAGGGGGTCTGCCCACTGTTGTTCTTTGTGTCTTTATTTGCTCCCCGGTAGAGCAGAATTCGTGCACAGCTTTCCTGCAACAAACGATATTGATTAATGTACATTAATCGTAAAATATAAATTACATAATCACTGCTTAATGTAGATGTAATTTGTATACATTCGCTTTAGAAAGCACAGCAATTCCTTGTGTGACAATTTTACTGCAAATATATGCTGAATATTAAATATTCAATGAAACATGCTTTTAAAGTAAAGTTTATAATACAGAATATTATTCATTCTTTCAGGTTAATACATTTTTCAAATAGCTCTGATTTCATCTGTTTTGTGAGAAAGATACATAATTTAATTGGAATTCAGGAATAAGGGTCTTCTCAGATTCATGATGATAATCAATTATTTAGCAAACGTAAAAAGAGCATTTATGTGGCTTTGATCTTGTTAAACTGTCTGTTCACAAAATGAAAGTGTTCTGTTCAACCTTTATTTTAACTCTAACTAACTCAGAAATACATAAGGTAGAGACCTCATTAACAATATAACACAGTAACAAAAAGATCCTAGGAAATAAGAATCACAAATAAGAAGTCTTGGGAAAAGAAATAAGCCAAAACAACAAAACATTGAAGTAAAGCAATTCCAATTTAAAGCAATGAATGGAAGTGAAATTTTAATTGCCCTAAGGATGTAAATGAGGTAAGCTTTAGATTGTTCTACATGTTATTCCAAGTTGGGCACAATGAGGAAAAACTGAATTTTCCAAGCTGAGTAAAAACAGCTGGCCCCTGTAACGTAATCCAGTCCTTTGATCGGTTCAATAAGGGCTCACATTTAAAGACAGCAACAAAGGAATGTAAGGGGGTAAAAAACAAGCAAGGGCTTCATAAATAAATAAAACCCAGTGTCTATCACACCTCACAGAGGGAGAGAGAGAGAGAGGGCCACCCAACCTTATCATACAGGTCACATTTTCTCTACTGTATAAAATCTGACATTTCATCTCATGAAAGAGTGTTTCTACCTTGTTGTATAAAGCACAGATGTGCAAGGCAGTGTTTCCAGAGGCATTCTGGGAGGAAGAATCCGCCCCATAGAAGAGGAGGTGCTCCAGATGCTGCGAGTTACCATTCTGACAGGCCTGAGTGATCATGGAGGAAAGATGTGGAAAAGGCAAAAAGTTAATAAAAAAACAAACACAAGGTGTACCAAACAGTAAAAGAGGAAGAATGTATGTGGTTGTTTAATATAGAGAACAGAGAGGCAGAGAAGCAAACAAGGATAAAGATGAGAGTGACACAAAGAGAGGAACAGTTATAAAGTGACACCACGTTTAATTAACGCCAGCTCCAAACTCAGGGCGAGAACACAGTAAGAGAACACAAGTGAGATCCAATTATACCAATAATCATAGTTTGTCATCATTTACATACAGCAACAGCAGACATGGGAATCAAAACTATAAACATGTTCCACTTTTCTTATTAACTGTTATTATTTAGGATTTATGTGTTTTAGTTTTCAGTTATACCACGGCATTAAACATCAAATGCTCATTTCTGATTGGTTGACAGGTCTCCATTACTAATCACATATCAGGACACCTATTAAATTGCAGGTCCATCATAGCAACACTACTTAACTTCACTTTTTATCCTTTGTAAGGGACAATAGTAGAAGCCTGACAATGAATGTGATATTAGAAAATAATTCAGTGGAGTACATTTTCACCTACACTACACACACTACACACCAAGTACAATATCCTCCACATAAGTAGCCTGCAGAATTGACCTGAATGAAACAGAACTTCAATTAGTTTCAGTGGTAACACTCATGTTTACTCTACTGTTCATGTAGAAATGGCTGCTGTAAAAAAAGTCTATAATATATAAAACTCAGGGGAGGGTGCTGACGACATACATAAAACAACATAATTTGTATTGGATTTAGTGGAGATTTTTGGTGTTGATTGAACCCTGCAAAAGAAATTCAAACACTGAATACTTACAATTTGGGGGATTAATGGGAATATTCAAGACATAAAGTATCTGTAAAATATAATACACAGCAGAGGACACATTGTTGATGCTAAAATCTTTCTCGTTGTCAGTTTAAATTTTCTGTTCAAAATTTGTTCTGTTATCTTAGAGAATACACTTATTTATTACATATTTGGTGTTGAGCTAATCCAAAATTAACAGAAAGTAATCAAGTTACAATACTTTAATATTGTGATACTTGGATTAGGTTACTGACTACATTTTTACCAGGTGATAAGTGTATCGGATTACATTTTAAAAGTTACCCTCCCAACCCATGCACATACGCACACAGACAGTATAAGATGGAGGCCAAGAGTGTCTAGGAGAGCTGAAGAGACAGATGCTGATGAAGTGCGGGTGATCACACTGAGACAAAGAGGCTGATACCTTTATTTTTCTGTCCACTCCGCTGCTGGAATATGAGGCCACAGAATCAGGATGGGTGGGATGAAGGGTGAAAGGAGTCAGAGATAAAAGATGAGAGTATGCAGTGTTTCATGGCATGAATGGTTTTTTTGACGTAGACACAGTTGCTGTACATACGCAGACACTGCAACACAGAGTAGACTGCACATTACAAACAGGATGTATGCACACTTGTGCAATTCAAACAACAGAAACTAAAACCCCAAACACCCCAAGGCCAGACTTTTTTTCTCATGCTTTCATAGCACGTCCCCAAATAGACACAAATTAGGCCACTGACCCCATTAGACTGAAAGATTTTGCTCCAAGGACCCTCTATCAAAAGTTTTGCTGTTGTTTGCTGTGTAGAAATAACTGCATACACAGATCATGGGAGATAATGCAAGAAATAATGAAACCTGTGGTTAAATCATTTCTATATTTGAATATTCTCTCAATTTATCCAAAATCCCTTTTTAAAGACCCTCTAAGGGAGTGCCTTGAGGTCTTAGGGGACCCAAATAATGCCCACACACATACCTGATGTGTCTCATCCCAGCCGTTCTCGTCCTTGATGCCCAGCTTGGCTCGGTGGAAAAGGAGTGTTTCGCAGCAAGAGGTGTCTCCCCCTGTCAGCACAGTGTGGTAGAGCGGCGTCAGCCCTCGTCGGTCCTTATAGTCCGGAGACGCACCGTGAGACAGCAGGACCTGCAGGAAAAGGTAAACCACATGTACAGGCAATTCTTAAATAATGGTAGTAATCATAACAGTAAGGGAGTGTAATAAATTATGCCATGATTACTATGCAGTAAATTAATGATGACTTTTATGAGCTAACATCACATTAATAAAACAGCAGCAAGGAAAAATATCTTACGTTTTCAATTTCAAGTCTAGGAATATTCATGGAATTTTAAATCAGGAAGGGAGCACATAGCCGGGGGTTCATCGAGGTCATGCAACACCTCAGGCTGGAGAGCATTATGTATTCAATCACAGTCTGCTGTAAATCTTTATGCAGTTTAGCAGCTGTTCTCTTTCCTTTGTGGAAAACATGGACCCTGACAATGTAACACATGCTATTATCTCCCCCTGAATGAGTCTCCTCTCTACAGGTACATGTCTTCTTGGCAATTTGGGAGCTGAAATTCTGGATAAATGCCTAAAATGTAAATGTGCAGCACACCTTTAAACCAGGCAATCTCAATTTTAATGTATTTTTTTCTATCTGGTTGAATAGAATAACAGATTGTTTTGTCCATGTGCATTTTGTGTGTGGGTGGGTGTTGACTGCTGAGTGGGAGGGTCTGTTTATTCTGTCTTCAGCTTGTTTGCTTATACAGTAACACAAATGAAGATAATACTGCATCAGTTTCAGGGCAAGCATCCATCTTGCAGATATATAGCGTGGACTAGCTTGGATTTTTCTCCTTTTATGGCATGACAATGAAAACTCATTACTTGTTATGATTAGATAACAGCAATCCTATAAAAGGACAACAACGTGCGTGAATGTTTACCAGCAGGGCTGTATGGCGGTGGCCTCGAACTGCCTTGTGTACAGGTGTGAGTCCATCTTTGGCGCGGAAGTCAATATGAGCCCCTCCCTCCACCAGGACCCGGATGGGCTCACCTCCACCCGGCTCACACTGCACCGCCAGGGACAGAGGAGTCTCTGGCGGACACACACAAGGAGATTCAAATTAAGTTTTTAATCAGAAAGATTGTTCTAGAGCTGGAGTCTGAAAGTCAAATTATTTGGGGGGCACTGGCCTGATTGTTTGCTCCTAGGGGGGGCTGCTTGAAGACTCAGTGGGAAACTTTCAGCAATAAATTTCAACTATTTACACTCAGACTCTTCTGTCCTTGCTTTAATATTCCTGAACAACAGCAGCTTTCTCCTTGCAGGTTAGACAGAAAATAAAAACAAAAACTGTCCACCTCATTCTTTTATGTTTAAAATACATTTTGGAGTCGAGGGCACTGCAGTAAATCAGGATTCTGCTGATTGTAACTAATGTGTTTATGTCGACAAGCTCCAAAGTTTGCAGCTTGCTTTGTTAAAGAATACGTTCTTGTAAACAAAAATTATGTTTACATTCAATGTTTCCTGTTTATCCTCTAGGTCTAATAAACTATTAGAATGCATTACCTTCCTCATAAAACTTGAATAAAATCCTATGTTTACATCCATGTTTACTAGCCTGTAGTCTTTCTCCTCCCTACCTTTATTAGCACATTGCTACACTTCCTTGTACATTACTGCCACCGACTGTTCATCAGCAGAATAGCGTGAAACAACATGGTGTGTGAATTGTGCAGCCCACGTCAACAAACACACCCATAGTGCTGCTAGTGATCAAAAAGTCTGCTTCTTTAAGTCTGAAATTAACCAGTCTTCAGGCATAAAACTTTATCTTTCGTGTGATTTTTGTGTGATTTGTATATGTATATTGTACGCTCCAATGCACCAAGACAAATTCCTCGTAGGTGTAAAAACTTACTTGGCAATAAATCTAATTCTGTTTCTGATTCTGATTCTGAGTAAGTATCTTGACGTTAGCTGGGGAAGTAATTTTGCAAGTTAACATTAGTGAACTAATACCCACTTTGCTAGCGATTTTGCTAACGTTACTGAGAAAGTAAGCTAAGGTTAGCTAGCCGACTACAGCCCAGCCAGGCTAAATATCCTGCAAATGGTAAGCCAGCCAGATCAGCCCCATGAGTGTGAAGCTAGCTAACAGAGAGAAGGTAACTGACAACACTGACCATTATCATTCAATTTTGCAGCTTTAATAGAAAACTTTGTCTAAACTAAGAAGCAGAAAAAGAAATGCGAAACAGTAAAACGATCAGGCTGTTTGAACTCGGTGACCTTATGAAATTGTCACGTGAGCCGTTAGTTACATCTGTCGGAATTAAATAAATTTTAATCCCAGTTTATTCTACTGCACACCCTGAGATAATTAAACTAACTCAGTTTTCCTGCAAATGTTGAAACTTAGCTCTGCTAAAAAAAAGTCAGGCAAAATAAAAGCTTCTCTGGGGGTTTATCTCTTGGTTTCATCCTACAGGTAGCAGCGTTAGCTTCCGAATAAATCCTAAAGCTGTTTTTCGTACCAATGCACTGATACTTTGCCACATACACTGACATCAAATAAAGCAACAAATAGATTTTTTTCAAAATAAAAGCGATGCTCTGTCACAACACCTTTAACCACACTGAGCACACTTGAACGTCTTCAGCAAGAAAGTTCAATGGCACCTAGAAGGATCATAGCATTCAAAGTGTTCCCAGTAAAAACAGGGTACAAAGCGCTGGCTGCCATGGCGACAAGAGAGTTTTTGGCAAAGAGGTAAGCGGCTGAGGGCTTTTATCTTCCAACAGCTTCTGTAGATCTCAGGTACAAATAATTTGGGGGAATGTTTTGACTGCACTTCCTGTGAAGTTACCATGTCAGTTCGACTTAGGAAATGCCCATTAAAGTGATTCCCCTGGCAAAGATGGAAGTGAGCCCCCACTGACAGGAACCACATTGAATACGGAAGAATTATTTTATGCCCTATTAAAGGCACTGTGAGTCTTCCGCTGAGCAGAAAAGCATGAGGAAAGAGGAAAGACAAGCAGGGTCAAATATAACAAGTGTTCACAATGTTAGGGGTGTCTAAGTCCCAGAATCACAGAACAGAGTCTTTCTATAGGCTTTTGATTGCCTCTTTGCTCTGTACAGACAGCCAAAGACCCTAATAGTTACTGGACTGTCAGAACATCTTCACACGACCTCACAGTAAAGCAGAAACCATATGAAGCCATGAAGATGCCATCACAATATGATGCGAGTGGAGCATTTTAGTGAGCAGAGGGGTCTCATCAGGGCTCTCTGTTGCCCCCCGGTGTTATGAAGCGGAAGTGTGTTTCACACCCGTGATGACAGGCTGTGTTTTGTGTTTTGACACTTGCTCCCAGAGCGGCTGGAGTGACACACACCCAAACTGTAAATGAGCCGTCTGCTGCGCCCCCTAAGCACTAACAGGATCTGGGAAAAGCCACCAAATTGTGAACAGCACTGGCGCAGATCCTTGACAAAGTGTTAGGCCAACATATTGCAGAGCTGAGGGCAGGAAACAGAAGGAGGAGGTTTGTTGTTTGCAGAGAGTTTAAAAGTCGAGTTTTATACAGGTCATGAAGCTGCTGGCCTCCAGCGTGCTAATTTAACCGGGAGGAGATGGTTAACAGCTTGGGGTTGTTGAATCTCAAATACATGTTTGATTGACAGACACAACAATACAATAAACAGAGGGAGACCGATGAAGGAAGAGATTTGACGGTATGTGGGTGTGTAGATGGATTTATATACAGTATACATAGATGGATGGATGAAATTAGCCCTAACAAGTTAAATCAAATCTATTTTCTTTTTTCAATAAATGCACTTTATTTATTTATTTTATTTATTCGGTTCCAGTATATAACTCGAGTCCAAACATCCATACACTGGTTAACTGACACTTCTATAATTGATTTTAAGGTTTTACTTTAGTTAACTCCCTAAGAGCCACTGCATCAGTTACTTAATAAGGTTCTAAAAAGTTTCAGCTCAAGACTCAAACAAGGTTTCTGTCAACTGCTGCTCTTTAGTGAAACAAGCCCAAAACGCTTAGGTTATGCACTGACGCTAAACTTGCTATACAGAGACAGTGAGGTTTATTTTCTTTTAGCTTTTGTTAAATCATTTTATCCTTCTTGTTGTAAGCCATTTTATTCATCTCATGAATGAGAGGATTTTAATGTATAAAGAACTATGCTATCTGTTATCCTTATGGACAGATGAGGAAAATGCTAAATGACAGAAGGAAGGTGACAGGTCGTCAGGCTCTGTGGGACTCCTTACCGCCGGTGTCAGAGTCCTGGTAGTTGGGATCGAGGCCTTTGTCTATGAACTTGACCATCTTGTCCACAGCGCTGGTTTGGATATAATCCATGAATTTCTTCAGGCTGGCCTGTGTGTGGAGAGAAAAGTGCTGCTGTTTGTACTGTATGTGCATGTGAAGGACAGTACAGTACAGTATAGCACAGAGATACAGACATAGCACGTATGGTAAATTAAGAAAGGGAAAATGTATATATATATGCACAAATGTACTTACACTGACATTCATACTGTACTGATTTCACTGTGCCAGTACATTTATATGACTGAAACCAGCAATTAAAACCCTTCAGAGATCCAACTTCAGGATGAATGGGCTTCATACCTTAGTGTGCAATTTAGCCAGTTGCTTCTCATCCAGATTAGTCTGTTTGTACACCCTGGTCTTGTATCGAAACTAAACCCGATGGAGAAAAAGAGAGAGGAAGCGAAGAGTTAATCCTAACACAGAGAGCGTTTGTCCTTAATTCTCTTAGCTTTTGGCCTAGATCCACAAAATGGGGCCTGCAGATTTATTGTACAGAGACGCTTTATCTGGTTTGCTATACAAACCTCCTCTTCTACTTCACTGAAGACAAGAATTGTGAAAGAAATGTTCTGGCTTAAAGGCGGTTTAGAGCCTCCTCTGGGTCATAATATAGCATGAAAAGATAGCGACAGCCTCTACAGAAGTTGCTCTAAAGAGAGTGCTGTGACACTGCTCTAAGAAGTGTGTATGGAACTTCATTCATAAACCAGGGTTATTAATATTTTATAACCTTAACTTCAGCAACACAAGGGATATTTACAGTAAATGTAGTCTGAACTGTTGCTGTTTTTTACTTCAGTTATCTGGGATCTGGTTGCAAAATATAAAAAGCCAGGAGTCACATAATGTTAGGCAAACAAGACAATCATAATGTACTTCACTGATCTTAATGCTCTGATATATAAGACCCTATTTGGTCCAACAGCACCATGGTTGAAGTTTTTTGTTTCTTTTTTGACTATTGCATTATTGGATAACAGTGACATCTTGAGGACATGCAGGCTGCATCACAGGAAGGACTGGACTCGCACCTCTAAATATGGTACCCCTTTCTCAAAGGACTGTGGGTACTCTCTGAGCAGCCTCTCTTCCTCCAAAAACTTGGCATCGTGGCCGTCCGTGGCGGGCTGGAACAGACCATAGTTCAGGACGTCTCGCAGAGATTCGGTGAGGGAGCACAGGACCTGTTGCTTGGCTTTCCACACCGTGGCATCTGGGTTAAACCGCAAACATTTCTGTAGGAGAGACAGAAGAAGTGACTCAGCTTGAAATTCGAAGATCAATGATCGTGGGTTAACTGGAAAACTCTGAGCGTGAAGGAATAAAAAACCTTTACTTACATTAATGAACATGTTATCATGTGAAGAATCTTATAAACAGTTGTGGTTTACAAGGGATTAATAAACACAAAAATAAGCAATTAAAACATGGTAAGAAATATAAAAGGCAACAAAAGTGACGTCAACACGTAATAAATAAAAGTTATATTAAACCTAAAGAAGAACTGATGTTGAAGATGATAAAGATCCAGCCAGACTCAGCTCATTGTATGCATCGATCTAGCCACTGGAGGCCACCATACAAACTACCTGATCACTTTTAGTTAATTTGAACCAAGAAATAGCCAATAGGAACCACTTCACTTTAAAACAGAAACAAAAGGAACGTTTTATTTTCAACATAAATTGTGCAAAAGCCACAATTATTGTCAAACTAGACATTTACACTCCGTTCTGTGGCCCATGCTGGACTTGAACGAGCCACCCTCTGGTTTATCAAGCCTATGGTCTGAGCTACTGCCACACCTAGAGAAGAGAAGTCTGGGAAATATGATACATTTTGTATAACAGAACAATATTTTCCTGTCCCATTTATCATCTCTTGTCCCCTGAAGTTTATCTTTGGACCACTTGTAGAGGTCACCACTGACCTACAGACAATCCTGTAGCAGTGGACGCTCTAGTCTGACTGACTGCAGCACACTGAGGCTGTCCCCCCTCTGAACCAGCAGGGGGAGACAGCGCCAGAGCAAAGTGGGTGATCCCCAGTGGCCCTAGTGAGGAGACTGGATACGCCTGGCAGTTTGGTGCAGCTTTAAGTGTCTCCGGTGGGGTCGTGAATGGCCAAATGCATAAAGGCTCAGAGGCACAGTCAGCAAAGTGGAACGTAACTCACTACACAGATGGCTGACAGACGGTTTTTGGCACTGCTCTCTCCCTCTCTTCCTCTCTCTCTCTCTCTCTCTCTCCCTCTCCCTCTCCCTCTCCCTCTCTCTCTCTCTCTCTCTCTCTCTCCTTGGCCAGAGTGGAACTGGGTTGTTCTCTGACCTTGAGGCAGCAGCAGGATGATTGGCCCATGCAGAGTACAGCCAGCTGCAAGGATCCCTGCCTCTTACTCCATTACTGCATGGACTCTTGTCTCTAGCCAACACTTATTCTAACCCAGAACATTCTCTCAGTCATTGTCACTCATCCTAATCTCTTCACACACACACACACACACACACACACACACAGAGACACGTTTGTGTGTGTGTGTGTGTGTGTGTGTGTGTGTGTGTCCTACAGAGAAAAAGAGATAAAACCCTGCACGGGGGTTTTGTGCAGAGGAGTAACATAACATTTTCTCCCTCTATTTCATCCAGTGTCTCCGTTCGCGCACAGCCAACCCGGTCGCCATGGCAACCGGTTCATTAGTGGAGCAAGCTGCTTGTTGCCATAGAGACATCCCTGTGTTCCCTAGGAGATGGGGTACTGGGAGGGTGTGCATGTGCTTGTGTGTGAGTGTGCGCATGGGTTTTTTTTCTTTTTTCTGTGTGTGTGCGCGTGTGTGTGTATATGTGTGTGTGAGCAGCGTGGCAAAAAGAAAGCGGAGTAAATGGGAGGGAAATGTCTAAGACTTTGAGTATGAGAGCGAATGAGGAAGAAAAGGTGTGTCTGTTTGTATTAGATTAGGTTTCACACACACACACACACACACACAGATCACAAACCTACACACTGCACTTACAGTTCCAATAAAGGATGCAGACAAACACACTCTAAAATGAATCACATTCACAGCAGGAGAAAAATGAAGGATTGAAGGTTAAGGATTTAGTTATCATGCAGGAGGAATATTCCCACAGTCAGCCAGAACAATTATAAAACACTGATAATTATCATAAAATAATGGAGATTCAAATTTCTGTAATGACTTTGCTTTCGGGCCTAAAATGCTTCAGATAGTTGGAGATTTTACTGAGGCAGCCATGCTTATCATTGATCTGTATACCTCCAGGAATGTGATTGATCCCCAGCTTCTAACCGGCCAGCCAATTAGGGCTCATCAGATTTCTCCTCCCTATCAGGCCTTCGAAATGCAACTTGGCTCTGTACACAGTCTTCCCACTGATTCGTCCTATATTACAGACATCTTGTACTGTGCAAAAGCACTGTACACTGCTGACTATACAGTCACAGACAGCCTTGCAACTTGTTATAAGCCTACAGTTGTGCACTTGCAGTTGAGTGCTTGTAGCATCCTCTAGTGGTCAGATAGCTTTGTGTGTGTGAATTAAGGAAACTAAATGACTACTGAGTATTGTTTCAGAATATACAAATATAAACAAATACAAATCATTTTTATTAATAATGCTTGTTCATGCTATATTCTGGCTAATCAGTGATCAGTTAGAAAAATAACTTACAACACCAAGTGCTAGCTGGTAGTCACAGTAAAGATCCTTTACTTAAATACAAGTACCATTGCAACAGTGTAAAAATACTCCTAGTATCAGCTAAATAAATAAAAAGTAAAGCTCATTGTTGTGCAGAGGGAGATTATTTTATCACATTATAAGATAATTAACATTGATGCATCAATGCGTTAGAGGCATTTTACTGTTGTAGCTGCTCGAGGTGGAGCTAGTTTATATACAGTTCAGTAGTTTAGTGCAGTGTTTCCCAACCTAGAGGTCAGGCTATTTGAAGGGAATAAAATTATACATAAAAAAAAAGTTCTGACACACAAATGTGTAATTTGTTTTAATATCTTTGCTTTTTATTAGATAATATGATCTTTTGGGACCTCAAACAGTTATTTATATGAAAGTAAGAGGTATTAGATGACAGGTATCTCTTATTGGAACATGACAAGAGGCCCAACATGACACTGAGGATTTGTAAGGGGTCACAAGCCCAAAAGATCATTTATGGTATTTTTTTGTACAATCTCAATCTGAAAAGTAACTAGTAACTGAAGCTGTCAAATAAATACAGTGGAGTAAAAAGTATGATATTTACTTGTGAAATGAAGTAGTGTAGAAGTAGAAAGTAGTAAAAAATTAGGTGTAGCACCTCAATAAATGTACTTACTTACTGTTCTTTCCACTACTGATACTGGTAAATCCTTATTATATATATATTATTACACTATATATTATATAACAGTATCCAGGTTTGTGATCATTTCTGTGCATGTGTGCCTTGACTCCTCAACATCTCAGCCACTACGTTCTGAGAATGCAGAAACAGTTTAGTTTCTTGGTGCTCTGCAGGATTCCTCTTCTCCATCTGATCGCTTGTAATGGAAAATGAGCTACAACACAGTTTACGCTCTGCAGCACTACCCCGAGTCAGACCTTCATTTCAGCATGTTTATCATCGTTACATCATGTGCCATCATATTTTAGTTTTACTGATGAACTACGAGTGACTCGAGTCGAGGATTCACCTTCACACATAGCAGAGAAACCTGGATAAGCAGCGGTGAAATGTAACTAAATACATTTACTCAAATACTGTACTGTACAGTTTTTTAGGTACTTGAATATTTACATTTATACTTGTGTACTTTTTACCCCACTACATTTATCTGGCAGGTATAGTTAGTAATTATTTTGCACATTATTATTATTTTCCTTCATATAATATACAAAAATAGGACCAGTTTATTAAATATGGTGCATTGTTAAACTACCAAGAGAGTATATGAAGTAGGTTAAATTATTTGCACATTACCATTACAGTATGACACTGAGGCAATTTTTCAACATGATGTGTAATCAATACTTTAAATACATTTAGCTTACAATACTTTTTACTGAAGTATAATTGAGTGCAGAAGCAACCCGATCATAAACAGGATACTAGTTATATATAAAAGCACCAAATGTCACAGCTTTTATATACCTTTTATTTGATTTTCAGATTTTATCACTAAAATCTAAACGCAGCTTTGAGTCCTTCTGTTTCTCTTGTGGTTTCATCATTATGCCGACCAGAAATTCTGTCTTGCCTCCTAAAGCTGTGATCACACTTTCCCACTCACATACACCCACTCACTCTGTCCATGCTGCTCTTTATCTTCCCCTGCCTATCTCTATCTTATTCTCCCTCCTCCTCCTCCCCTTTCTAGCCATCTTTCTGTAACGACTCTATCATCTATGCAGAAATAAGAGTCGCTGAGAGTCTCCTCTCTCTGTGTCTAGCTCTCTCTATCTCTGTCCCTCTGGCCTTTTACTGCAGGCCAAGTGCAAGGGGAGTAGAAGCCTTTAATGAGATCTATGGGGAAATAACCCCCCCCCCCACACACACCAAACATGCATACACAACCGCCACACATGCCGCCAGCCATGTCACCATGTTAAGTCAACTTCCTCTGCGTACCTCTCCTCCTGAGCTCCAATCATCTCCTCCTCTCTCTAATCCTCTCTCTCGTCTCAATTTCAACCACTCCAACCCCCCCTTCCCTCCTCTTACAACGTTCACAAGAGAGTGAATTAATTTCTTTTAAGCTTCCTGTCATCCCCTCTCATCTCTGCGCCTTGTTCTCTCTTCCTCCATTGTCTCCATTTTTTTTCTCTCACTCACCAATGCTTCCCTTCCTCCTCACCTCCCATACTTCCCTCTCTATTATCTCCTTCCCTCTGTTCACCTTTAGGGCCTTTCATTAACGTACGTACAACCTATGCAGAGGCACGGTGGACTCTGTCTTGTGATCTGAGATGTCCACATATCTTAACTAGGCGCTGAAATATAAGTGTGTGTGTGATTGCGTGTGTGTGAGATCCGTATTTCAGCGTGGAAGTGTTTGTGAGGCCAAATCCTGCCTGAGGGGCTGCTGCTTATACTTCAGAGTTTGCGAGAACTCAGCTCAAGTCAAACAGCGGAGAGAACCTCATTCGTTTCACGCTGTTTAATGCACTCGGCAAGCAAATGCCAACGTGACTGCATGTGCGTGAGTTTGACAATCT